GAGAAGAAAGGGGGGTAGGAAGGAGGGAGGGAAGCAAGGAGGAAAGGAAGGAGGGAAGGAAGGAGAGAAGGAGGGAAGGGGAAGGAGGGAGGGAAGGAAGGGGAGTAGGAGAGAAGAAAAGAGGGAGGGAGGGAAGAAGAAGTAATACCGTAAGATAAGATGGATCTATGGGATGTTTAAAAAGCAATCTTCAAGTATATTGTCAACAGTAGGGAAAAATTGTTACAAATACATATTATTAATAAGAGTTTGCATATATCGTAAAAGAATGAAGCTCATGCTTGAGTAGCGTCCTTTAAATAAAATTCTTATAGAAACTCTTAAAAAATGTTCTCCCCTTATTGGGGCTTACCTAAATAAGTACCAAGCGGCATTACAGATAGTTCTTCTCGTGCGACAGAGTGGTCCTGTATTTTCCGCTGCAGCGGAGCTCCAGTTTCACACGCCAGTGGACCATCCTGTTCGATCTCAGCCCTCTGAAACGATCCCTACTGAACGGGTGGGGTAATTTCACAGGCATTTGGAATATAGAAAACAACGGCATGCATAAAAAAAAAAATCATAGTGCCTTTGCTGGCCCAGAAAGTTTTGTGTTTTATTTCGTTCATTAAACTTTTGGTACATCTTGACATGAGTAGATCTTCGCAGCAGCCTGAATCTAGAAAAAAACAAGGAAGCAAGGACAGAAGTGAAGTAGATTTTGATAAAGAAGCCCCTTTGCAACTCAAGCTAGAGAGCATGTATAGTTCTACTGTATCCCGTAGTGGCTTTGACTGGCTGGTTTCTCTGTAAGAGCCTTCTTTTATTGATTTGATTTGATTTGTAAGGCCACCCAATCCAAATAATGTGACTCTGAGAAGTGTAGAACAGAAGAACAAATAAGAAGAAGGAAAGTAAATTGCACAACATATACATAATATTGAAATGTAAATGTTCTTTTAGCCAGAGTATAGCGGTAGCGTAGTCACAATGTGAGGTTTCATATAAATGTCTGGGTATTGTTTTAGGAACCGAATTGGAACTGAGACATATTCCTAGTTGAACATTTTGCTACTTTTGGTTAATCTCTCTCTTCCCCATAGATTTTCAGAATCAGTTTCATATTTTTGTGTTATGTTGCTTGTCAATACCCACTCTTGTTCTACTTTTCAGAAGGATAGTTCGAAGGGTGTTGTGTTTTCCTTTTGTGTCCAGGCAGAGTTCAGTACACTTTTAAGAATAGGTAAAACTATTTAAACTATGGAAAAGCAACAGAAAAATCTGTTCTCAGAGATGGGTCAGGTATAGTGAACTCTTTTTCAGAAGTATTTCTCATTATCCCTGGTGGTGTAAAATACAGAGGTTTAAATTTTAACACGGATTCCGATATTTGACTATAAACATAGAGGCAACATAAAATGTTTTAGTTAACATAGACAGTAAGGGAAGCACTTGATTGGACCACACTTTATTCTCAGTTAGCACGTACTTTTCTTTTAAAATTTTGTTCCACAGCTGCGACAAGAAGTTGTGGTCTGTATGAGAAGGGATACCGCCCTGGAAACAGCACTGAATGCCAAGGCATATAAGCGTAGCAAACGGCAATCCCTGCGGGAAGCTCGCATCACTGAGAAGTTAGAAAAACAGCAGAAGATTGAACAAGAAAGAAAACGCCGGCAAAAACATCAGGTACCTGTGGTTTCTGCTTTAATTTGAAAAAGTGGCATTTATTCAGGTGGTTCCACCACAAAACCGCGTTCGACTAAAGGGCGCTCGACGAAACNCGGGCCCCTTTTTTTGTGAGCTTTGCAGAGTGCAAAAACTTTTTTTTTTAATTTTCCTCTTCAAAACCTTGCTGCGTCTTATACTCTGAAAAAATACAGTATATATTAGATTTATTTCCTTCATTATGTGCCTTCAAATCTGTGTCAACTCTTAATCACCATACAATCTGAAAAACGTGTCCATTTCAAGTATATTTAGCAATACATTTATGATGTAAATATAAATAGGACATTAAAAATATAATCTCATACATGTCAAGAAATAAATGCAGTTATGTTTAATGAGACTTATTTCTGGGGAAGAGGGCCTGGCATTTGCGCTTGGTCTCTGCAGATTATCTCAGTCTTGTTCAACTCTCGTGTCATCTGAGTATTTGCTGACTATTCTATGGATAGTTTAGTTCTTCCATTGGAACCAATTTGTTTAGAGGAGATCTTTATGCGGGCTTTGTCCTATTGCAGCCAATGGATTCCATTCATGAAAAGGGACTATCTGAAGACCCTCGTTACAGTCAAATGAAGGGCATGGGAATGAGGGCTGGTGGGCACACAGGAATGGGACCCCCACCAAGTCCAATGGATCAGCATTCTCAAGGTATGGCATGCTTTCAGCACATTGCTGGTTAAATGTAGCATTTGTTCTACAATTAAGTCTCCTCCTTCTACCCTTCCGATCCTTCATAACTTTAAGATGGCTTCTACAAGAAGCTTTCTCTTGTCTGTAAAGGATTTTTGCGAAATTTAGAGCCACGTTTTCTAAGCCTGCAAGAAGAAGGCTCTCTCTGCTGTAAATACTGGTCCTCAACATATTGAAGGTAAGACTCAACCTGAGGAGTGGGGGAATACACCATTCTTCTCATATGGAAAGTTACATCCTTTTGGAGTGACTATATAGTCATGGGGCGGGGAGTACACTCTGAGTTCTGTGGTTCTGCATATCAGGACATAATAAAAATCATCTGGTCTTTAGCAGTTCTTAAAAGTAGGTAAATACAACCTCAGAGGAACAACAACACATGGTATATACGGTTCCACCACAAAACCGCGGTAGACGAAAGCGCGCTCGACGAAAGCGCTTACATGACGTCATCACAGCGCGATGAAAACATCGCGCTGTGAGCGGTAAATTTAAAATTAAAGTGAAAA